GAATCTTGAAACCAACTATATAAATCAAACGATAAACATTCGGGAAAATCAGATATAACCACAGACTCCTCAGTGGTAGTGGCTGCATTGAGACCCGGCAGCACATCAGGAATCGATGCTGCCTCCTTGCAAGAATTGGCACGAGGCTCAATGAAAAACGCAGGATGGAAACACTAGGGAAATCAGAGAAGGGGCCAAGTACATTTTAAAAACCCTGGCCATCCTCGGTTGGAGCCACGGCTTCTCCAGGTAGATGTTGTTCAGGTTCAGGAGAAAGGTCCTATAAATTTGTGAATGGCTTTGGTGTGTATGTGTGTGTGTGATGGTGCTGGTGTGTGCATTTTTAGTGTGATGCCTCATCTGCATGATACGGTGACCACAGATGCATCAAATGAGATTGCTTGATCACCAATCAGGGAAAGGCACCCTTCTTTTAAGTTGCAAGCATATGACTTGTAAAATTTCAGAACCTAACCCACCATAACTCCCATAGTCAGTCAATTTACATATCTAGGGTGCCCTTTTCTGATTGATATCATGTTAAAGGTATGCGCCGTATAAGCGCGTTGCTCCTTCCACTCTCTTGGCGGTTCTTCATCACCAATTGCCTGGAGTAGCACAGGGTAGGCTCTGTGGGCAATATGGGGTTCAAAAATATACCTTGAAGGGCCTGGTCCTTGTTCATGGGAAACTCTTCAGCAGGCTTCCCAGTAGCTTCCTGGAACACCCCCAAAGAAATTACACACGCACTCGATCGAAAGTGAATCCTAAAAGTGAAACCTTGCAACTATAGTTTGTTCCTCCAACTCGGTCCCCGGTGGCCCAGCAGGCTCATGTCCAGTAGGTTCAGGAACCTGTCAGAGGCTGCAGGAAGGGTAGCTGGTTTTTTGGTCACAAGGAAAGGTTCAGGCTGACAAATTGAAAGCCTTGCCATCAAAGGTAGAAATCTTGAGCTTTGTAGATGTCTCCTGGAAAACCCAAAATAATTGCCGGATGCACGTCCAATTCAAAACACAACATTAGATCTTGTAGTGGCAGCAAATATAGTTAAGACTCCTCACTCAGAAGCGCATCAACAGCCTCCATGTCAAGAGGAAGTGTGTCCACGACATCAATGTCCAAAGGCAGTCCTGTGCGTGCACATGCACAACCATAGGGTTGTAGGGCGGTAACAAGCAATAGCTGCAACCATATATTTATATGATATGATTTCATCTATGTAGAGCTAGTGGCTCCTTGCTGTGTCTCAGGCTCTTGACTCTGGGCAACACTTGCTAGGTCTTCCAAACGCTTCAGGGTTTCAAGTTGTTTCTCCAGTTCCATCAGCATGACCAACTGGCGGCGCTTCCTTTCAAGGTCAACCTGAGAGCATGACAGTATGAACCCAACATCCCATTACGCTTATATCAGAAGCAACATGTCACACCAGCACTTCATTTGCAAGTAATCATTTGCATGCATATATATATTATAAATAATTACATAAAAGGCCATTGGCAGTTGATACATTTGCATGCGTATGCATACAACACCATTGGCAGGATTGTTACATGTGCATGCATCATACAATACCATTGAGCCAAGAAACTGGCACACCTACTGGGTCTGGTGTAACCACGGGAACAACCGGGTACTTGGGAGGCGGGGTGACCAGCAATGGGCTCGCAGGGGTGGCCACCAATGGGCTCACAGGGGTGGCCACCTGACTGGTGGAGAGAGAAGCTGCAGCCGTTTCACCTGCAAAGCGGGCAGGGCGTGGGTTGGATACGGGCATACATGCAATGCAAACTGAAATTTGGTTGCACATGCTTCAACTAAGGGTTGGAAAACATATATATAATAAAACAATTGCCTCCATCCTCACTTACTTTGCCCTTTGCTTTGTTCTCCTCACTTACTTCTTCTTTTCTAGAAGTGGAAACCTGCTCTTCGGCATCACTCTCTGAAGTATCTTCAGACTCAGTGGTTGTACATGACTCATCGTCGCTCCCCTCATCTTTGTTGGTTGTTGGCTCTGGCCAAGTAATACCAATACTGGACATGTATTCTCGAAGACATGGGTCGCGAGGCCGATGTGGACGATTTGCCAATCTGTTCTTTGTGAAACTCAACAAGCGTTTCAATTGCCATCCCTGTGTCTCGTAAGTGAGTCCTTAGAGTACATCCAAAAGACATGCATATATATGTGCATGTCGAATTGTGAAACATGCATTTGAAATCTGTCTCATAAGCTACCCCTTTGAGAACATCCAACACATGAGCATCCACATCTACAAGAAGCAAGTGATGAGAACAAAGCAAAAATAAGTCAGGATATGGCACTTATTTTGCGTTTATATGTAAACTTGCATTTCTGTAAAAGACAAAGCATCTGGGGCAGGGAACGAGCATGTAGTCGTACAAAGCTTGCACATGAACCGTACATGTACGGACACCAACCCGAAGCCCTAGAAAGCGCGCAGCAACTTTCAAGACGGGAATGTTGTTCCGCACAGCATCCCGGTCAACCTCACCATCCAGCACTTCCACCTCAGAATAGGAGAGTGAAAGATTTCAAAGGGACAGGGATCAACACACAAGTATATGTTACATATCACATGCACTTTGCAAATATGTACATGCAAGTTACCAACTCCAACTTTCGAGCTTTGTCCCGAATTTCCCCCACTGCTTCCCATTGCTCTGCAAGCGCGGAATGAGACATATCTTTTAAAGAAAAATGTTTTTCGTGTTTTTTGTGCGGGGATATCTTGATCCTATCCTGACATGCACAGCATGCATTCGTTTCTCTGATACAAAACGGGCACACTGCCACATGTGTTCTGAGCCTTCAAAGGCCATAGGCATCGAAAAGGTATGTGTCAATTGCCGCACTAAGGTCTTTCTACCAATGATCAACTGATCAAGATGCGATGCTGCAAACCATGCAGAAAAAAGTGCAGGGCTGTGGGCGGGAAGCCGCCTTCAAGAAGATTTAGATCTCCACAAAGACCAACATCGCGGCAAGGTCTATGTGGGCATGAGATAAGATAGGTTGAATGGTGGCCTTTTCAAATGAATCCCGAAATGCTCGAAATTGTTTGATTGCCATGGGTGAACATCCATGTGAGTGCTCCCAATGACCATAGCATCATCAAAGGTTACCACTGAGAACTTGGTCATGGGGTTGTTGGCCCAAAAAGTGAAGGTATCTATTCAAAACTGACCGTTTGATCCAAATGGCACGTTTGGTACAATCTAAGGGTTTTGTGTCTCTTTGTGGGGCACTTGCGTTCAATGGACCAAGAGTTCAACTTTTTTGTACTTAGGCCGCTTCAGGTTAATATGATAATCAATTAATATCAATTAATAGTATCAATTAATACTATTTATAGATAAACACTATTTAATATCAATTAATATCAACTGTCTGCTATGAAAAATTCTGAAAGAAATGTCGTGAATCGGGACTCCCACCGGACTCAGAGTCCCACCGAAGAACCACACGCCCACTTTTCTGATTCGTTCGATTGGAGTCTTTGCAACGTGGCCCACTCCCAAAGGCTACAACAAAATGCTTCGGGAATACTGGAGATCCTGTTTAGATGATAGATGTTTCTGAAATTGGGGGACCCCAAAATCATCAAACACTGGCGATTTTGTGCAGCTTTGAGTCAGGAAACGAATGGTTTTGGGTTACCCCGATTTTGAGAACACTCATTTAGAACTGGAAAAAGCGATGCAGCCTCAAGTACTCACACATGGAAACGGCTGCAAAAATCGTGTTCCTACAAGCAAACTAATCATCTATACAAAGATAATAATCAAAAATATACATAAAAAATATCTATGATATGTTTGTTCCCTGGCTAGGGTTATGAAAGGATAACTTTGGCCATCTCAGTACCCTGTTATATAGCTGGTAAAAGTATGCGGTCGTGGGCCATATTGTGAAGCATCAGGCTCTGGGTCTGAATTGAAAGCCTTGGTCGCATGGGTTGCCTTGTGAAGAATTGGCCACCCCCTCAAGGGGAACCCCCCAAAAAAGCACTAAACCAAGTTTTTCAGCGGGATCTTTGTCACTATAGTAACCTCAAAAAGATGCCGAAAGGTGGTTCCAGGATGGTAGTTCGATGATATTCTACCTATTTCTACCTCATAACTTCCAGGTGTCTAACTTTTCTATCCATTCTAGGGGTGCCAAAAAATCGGTGATGGGATTACCAAAATCATCCAGTCCGAGGGCCTTCGCGAAAAAAGTGACCCACACCCAGCTTCCTACTAGTAGCTTCAAGGCATCTTTCTACCTTGTCTTTTACCAGTGCTCCCAAAAGCGAAGCAATACCGTTGAAAATCGTTGAAATGTAGGAGGCTGGAAGTTGATAGGTTATCCATTTCTTAGTTGGGGTGAAAGTCCTAGTGGGCATGCCTCAGAGTAGTTGGTGAATTGAGTTTCCAAAGATCCATTGTGATAAACGGTAGTTATCCTTCAAAACAATTCTGAAACGAGTGCTTTGTTTGAACGGGATATCACGGATTATACTACGCATTCCTGGATCAACATTGCCAGCAATGAATGAAATGGAATGAAACGTGCCCCGTCTGTTTAGTTACCTACCATGGATCCATGTCCCCATGGCTGTCACTGGGTTGGTTTAAAGAAACGTTCACGCATGCTCACAGGCTACCATAAATGCTCATTTTCTTTGTTTGTTCATCCCGAGAACAAACATGGATTCTCCTGCAACAATGTGGCACGAGTAAGATGATCATGAAGGGTTACCTGGTGTGTAGCTGCGTAGCCTACAGTTGCATTGCACTTCCACTCAAGCGCAGCAGGAATTCGCTCACGGGAGCAGTGAATAATTAAGTTAAAATGCATCCGGAGCACGGCGCTTCTCTTCAACACAGCGTCAACATCTGGCCAAATGATAACTCTTCACCCAATCTGATTTCGATGAAACATCCCTTTGAATGCATGTTCCAGATCCTTCAAATCTCTCAAAAGTGTTTAAAATTAGGAGTAAATCAAAGAGGCGCCTTTACACACCGGCCACGGGGCGCCTTCACAAACGATCAAAAATGATGCCGTCTACGGCGCGAGCTACGAACATTGGCTAAGGCAACGAGCAATGTTTCGATCAATCGCCAAGGCCGTAAAACTTCTCACTCACATCCTGGGAGACACCAACAGATACCCTCCAGTAAGTTATACGTAGAAAATGGCGAGTTTTGAGTGGAAACTCATCTTCCAGATTTCAGACCCCTAAAATTGGCAGGGTCTATGTTCATTTACTGGAGAATATCATCTCCAAATAGTCATTTCATTGAAAAAAGAATGACAAATCCATATCCCGTGCCCAAACATATGAAAGCCAGTCATCATCATCCTAGCTCCTGGGGTTGGAAAACAAGAAATGTGTTTATCACACCGTATTTATGATTATTTTCCATGAATACCATCTGGTTATTTGACATAGCCATGGAAAATCACCATTTTTAATAGGTAAACCATCTATAAATGGGCCATTTTCCATGGCTATGTTAAATAACCAGAGGGTAGCCAAAAAAAACAAAAAACTGAAGGATTAGCCATCAAAGGTTGGGGATGACCATAAGAATGTGAAGATGCGAGCGGGAAAAACCTGGTGGCTAAGCACTGCAGCGATTTTTTTGCGCCAGGGTATTATTAATGGGAATATGGGTAAACAATGGGTATATCAATGGAATATACACCCAGCTTACCCTCTGGTAATTTAACATAACGAACTGGAACATCACCATGCAAAAATAATGGACAAATCACTATTTCAATGGGCAATTTTCAATAGCTATGTTAGTTTACCAGAGGGTAATGTATCTTACTAATTATAACTTTTCTGGTCATCCATCGAAATCCCTCTGAAAAAGGCTGAAAAAAGCTGCAAGGCATCCAAGTCAGGGAAGCTAGTTGTAGGCATTAAAAAAGTCCCTCCATCTTATAGCACCCAAAAAATTGGAAAACCTCCTAAATAGAACAGAAAGTTATTAACCTAACTGTTTCTGTGGCGTTTATTTTCGTACATTGTTATTCCTAGTGTTTTTCATGGTGCTATAGAAGATATGTCGGAATATCCCAATTACAGTAGATTGGTTGTGTCCCAAGATGTCCCAAGTATATGCTATACCAATACCAATTATCAGTCAGATTCAATTCCAATTGGGGTCCTTTTAGTTGAAGAATTCGGCTTGTCTGAAAATTTAAGGTTTTCTACCCAAGAATCCACACCAATAGCCATGGCGAATTACTGGGTCAATTCTCTAGACTTCAGTGATTCAGACACCCTGATATTCTTAGAATATATTATATATTGAGTTGTGCCTCAATCCAACAGCAAGGCCCCAGTAATTTCCCCTTTGAATTAGATATACCACTCATTCAAACTCTCCGAAAGTTGGCAGCACCTCGTGTTGGTGGCAAGCCACACTAAACGATATGGTTGACCAGGTTGACCATTGTTTAAATATCTGAAATCACCAATCTGTACTAGCATTACTATCAATGGTTAATGATGGTTAATAATGGTTAATAGATAATAAAGGACCAATGATAGTTAAGGATGGTTCAAACCTGTTTAATTAAACCAAAAGTCAATTTGGCAGACACGTTCAAACTTTCAAAGCCCTCTGGGCATAACATTCAACCCCCTATGGATCTAGCCGCACCGACTCTAATGGAAGTAGGATGTTAGCTGTAGGGATCCAATTGGTATAGGTTTATTGTATTGGCTTCACCACAGTATTAATCATGATTAATCCATGAGTGACCATCAATAACCATCATCAATCCATTAATAATCCATTATACAAAATCAAAACAATACTAACCACTATTAATCCGTTATTAACCATGATTAACCAATGGGTTCTTGACCTTGGCGGAAACGTATTACGACGTATGGGCGAGGCACCAAGGTCACCTTGAGCACTTCTTGCATCGTGGTGCCTTTCCTGGGTCCCGATGTCTAGTGGTGAAGCTTGGGAAAAAAGTGGGAATTTACACAGCAAAGATGTATAAAACTAGGGGTTAAACCATCAAACAAAAGGGGCGAACACCATCAAACATGTGGCAACAATAAACAAATAAAACTTGGATTTCAGTAGCAACGATGATTTAAGCAGCTAAAAAAAATGGATTTGAAGAGTGAAATTCATGACTTAACCAACAAACACCAGGGAAACCTGGTCTTCAACAAAGAATAAGTTCTGCTTCAACCGGCAAACACGTGGGATTACATAAATTGCAATCTAGACATAACCATTATCTTACTGTACTTCGGTCCCCTTCAAACCGATGCCCCCCTGGGTGATAAGTTGGGTAGTTTTCACCCATCCAACATGAACAATTGACCCAACAAATAGAATAATTAGTGAAATTAACATTGACAAACAAGTTTTTCCGGAAATGGAAATCATGTTCTACACCGCTGGATGGACTGGCTTTCAAATTTGTTCAACATTTCTCAGCTACAGTAACTATGCTGCCTATATCTGCTTCTTATACCCCTATCAGGGATAAGCCGAGCTATACAACGAACTCATGTCCAATCACGTATTGCCCTCCTGTCGCTACACACCGATGATTGCTGGCAATATCCGGATTATTGGCTGGTCATATCCACATCTATCGCTGTGAAATATCAATTATCTTATAAATATTTATAAATTATAAACCAACACAACACTCCATCATGAATCAACCATATATAATCATATATATATAATATAATCATATATATATATAATAAACATGTCCATTTCATGTTGGCTAAAACCCATTATGCTTTCAGGGAACATCATAAGGGATTTCAACAGCAAATAGATTGGTTGTACCCATGTTTCTGGCTGGGAAATTCCAATTATTGGTCGACATAACATGGGGAGATGTCACCTAAAGTACCAAATGTTTGATGGTTTAAGTCTCCATGTTTGATTTTCTCACCACTTTTGATCATCCTCGTTGATGGTTAATTGAGTCTGTACGTCTTAATGGCTAAATGCCCATTTATTTGATGGCTACATCACCTCTTTTGATGGTTAAATCCGCATTTTTGATGATTAAATCCCCATTGTTGAAGGTTAAATCCCACTTTTGATGATTAAAGTGTGAGATGCTTAAATCATAGCCAAATCCGTAGTTTCTTCCATTTTTCACGGGATTCACATCACCACTTCCAGCCGAAGTCACAGCTCTGCTATCTTCTCTGCGAGGCTGGGTATCTCAAAAGGCTCCTTGGCCAGGTAGGGTGCGTCCGTCTCCAGAACCATGCGCTCCAGGGGGCAATGGATGGCTGTGGCCCTAAGGCTGTGGCAGGCTGGGGAGGATTGGGATGTTGAAAAATATGAAGAGTTGGGGATTCAACATGGTTGAAGTGGTTTTGCATGGTTCTACCAAAAAATTCATGCGGACCAGAGCATGGAAATCCAGAGTAGAGGAACCAAGTTGATGGGATTTAATTTAAGCTGAATATTAAGTCTCCATTTTTTTGGCCAGAGGCGTTCTAGTTCGCGACTTACGGCCGTTGGCCCTACCCTGGTGTTCGAAGGATTATGGAAAGGCAAAATCAGGCGAAAAGAGAATCAGTCTACGCCCCAGCCCCACCCTCTCAACTTAATGTCTTTTAAACTGAAGCACATACACTTGGAACATCTATAGTGATGGTATTAATCTTATGTTCCAAGTGCACACTTAGAACACTTACATCGTATAAAACATGTTTGTTTTCCCCAGATGATGATCTAAGTCAAGTTCATGTCCGTCACTATAAGTTGCAACTTGACTGGGAGTTGACTTAGCGATGAAATCATGGGGTGCCGACAAACAAACATTGGCATTTAAACTAATAAGTATGGCTCACCAACATGAAGATTTTGCGAACTAAAACTACAGAAATTCACAAGCAAATATGATGACATGAACTAGGATGACCACCAACACTTTTGGGTCTTGACCTCCAATTTGAGGATTTGTGCGTATATCATGTATATTATAGTATATGTATACAGTATATATATATAGTATAAACAATATACATACAAGTATTAAGTAAACAACTTGGTAAAATACAATGATAGCTTAACGGATGGGATGGGATGGGATTGGCCAAGAGTCTTCGCTCCTTCACTGCACCAAACCATGCTGCTCACACCAAAGATGCAATTGGGAAACTCCATGAGGGCTTCTCTCATCATCTCTTGGCCACCTGCGAAAAATGCGGCCGCAGTCTACTTGAAACAGCTCCCATACTGCAGTTACTCGAGGCAACTACAGATTTGCAGCTCTTCTGGCCAGCATTGGGCCATCATAGATGTTTTTTTTTCCGCAAATGTAAGATAGCGTAAGGATGTGTAAAGGTGTACAGAACCAACTCGCAGTGTCACAGGGGAACTTGTGTCAACTAGTCCCACTGGGAATGATCATTCGCCATATCTGTGGAAAACATCTGCTATAGGACTCTACCAAGTGGTGAGGACAGCCCCTTTGATGTCAGGTCTGGTTTCACTTGCTTGAAGCTTAAATGGTAGCGATGTAATTAGCAATGGTTGCCTATATCAAGGTGTCCTAAAATTACCCCAAATTATCCAAACTTGGACAATTCTTTTAGCATTGAAAACCCCATTTTTATAGAAAGAAACATCCACTCTGACTGAATTTCCGCGCGGCTTTTTCAGGCCACGAACCTTGGTACGCATGGATGTAGACCTTGTGCTCCTTGGGAAGAAATCGCTTCCTTGTGGCAGGCGGAATGAGGCTGATTTATCATCTCCGAGTTTTGGACCAGGGTTGGGGAAACTAGGGTTACCCGGGTTTGGGGGAATTCCCACTATTCTCCAATCTAAACATCTTACTGCATATGTGCATCCAGTTTGCTGGCTTGTTCCCAAGTTGCAGACACATCTATCCAATTTTGGTTTCAGCAGGGCGCCCATCATCATAGCACACGGAGAACAGACATGCTCCCCTATTGACGTTCATCTCAAAGGCTCTATTGCAGTACCTGCTAACCAAGGAAGGTTCATCCCTAGAATGGGCCAAAAAAATCCAATAACTGCAGTATCTTTGTCAGTTTGGTTGATTTGCGTACTCTTGTTCTCCTGTCTTGGCGCCGAGTTAGAGCAGTAATTGCTGTTGCTACTGCGCATACTTTTATTTCGCTGTGTAACTCACTGTCTGCAGATCGCAGTGGAATAGTTGCATCAAGATTCCTTGGTGTTGCGGCTGCATGTGTAAATGTATATTGTTTTTTTATAAGTCAGCAAAGATTCGTAAAGAAACTCCTAGTTACGATCAGAAACTCCATGTTGGTTCATTACATTAAAATTAAGATCAGATGAGTCAAGAGGAGTTAAGAAGAACTGAGAAAAGGTACGAAGAGCTGAGAACAATTGAAACGCCGAAAACAGTTAAGGAGAATGAGAAGAGGTCATTCTCCAACTTCAACATTTGGTGATGTTCCCATGATCTGGGGATGGGATTCCCCATGCTGTGTGTCTTTCCAATCTGTTCCTGGTGAAGTCGAAAAAGATGTCACCCCCCCATTGACCAGAATTTCCATTACAATCATTATATTTCATTCTATTTCACTATTTAAATTGTTTATTTACAGCAAATTGTTTGTCTTGATTTCAACAGCCCCCGTGGCAGATCAACGAAGCGTCAGCACTTCCAAGGTATCGGCGTCCGCATCGCGGGCATGGACGACGACGGGAAGATTGTGGTCCACCTCGAAATGGCGGCTGGGACAGGGACACCTCGATAATGAATATAACCTGTTTACATTATTATATATATATATATATCTATATATATATATGTTGTGATTATCATAATGATTGTTACTATGTCTATATATGATCATTATGATTATGATGGTAATGATAACGTGTAATCAGTATGAATCTTATTATCACCTATATATATATTATATATATACATTATATAGTTATTATTACACATTACTACATTACTCTACATGGGGATGAGTCAAAACCCTGGTACCTAGTGAACCCCAAAATAGCTGGTAAATGGATGTTCATCCCACTAAAAATGTATCTATAGGTATTGACCCATACCCACATTACCAATCATGGAGCCTATGGAATTTTCACACCACCCATCGATATCGGCATCGCGGCATCGCGCCCCTTGGGCTCGCCACTCCCATGCGAATTTGCCGCGCAAAGACGTCCATCATCCGTGCTCTCCTGGCCACAGCAGGCTGTGGGGGATTTGAACACCTTAAGTGGTGGGGAAAACCATGGGAAAACCATGAAAAATGATGGGACAAACACAGAAAACCCAGATTTTGTCAGCCAGCAAATGGAAAAACCTTTAAACATGATGGAAAACTATGGAAAAATAAAACAAGTGGAACATGATGGGAACACCATCAAAGGTTTAAAGAACTAAAATAAGGAATTGGGATGATGTTTTTGTTTGTCCAGAAATGTGGTATTATAAAACGACAGTTTTTGAAGAATCTACAGTCATGGGAATGTAATGCGGGTATAACGGGGGTATAAACATCTAGACGGGTTTGGCCAAAAGTGAAGAATACCAACAAATGGGCTTATATTATATATACGAAAGAACATGAGGAATACACAATCAATAGTAGGGATATGATAGAGATATCATTGATAAAGCAGTCAATGGTATCGGTCAGATAGATGCGTTTGATTTTGGAGGATAATGAGCAATTAGTCGTGATATATTTGGATGCCTAGATTTCCAAAGGGACGTGGATTCAAGTGATTCAAGCCCATGGACTAAGATGATTTCTCCAATGAGTCAGTTTTACTTCAGGTTTTTCTACATCAACTGGTGTTCTTCCATAAGACTTTGTAGTTCAGCACGTTTTGATTTGATCCGTCAGAATTTTATGCTACACTGTACTTTGTTGAGTAATGTTGAGTACGTGATGTACGTGTAACTCCCAGGATCACATCTACACATATCTACACTGCATTTAGGTGCAACCTCAACTACCTATCGGCAAATCTATATGTTTCCTTCTGGCATGCCATCCTTAGGTCTATCCGAAGACATCCAGCGATTTGATTCACCCGGAATAGACCAACACTTTGCATCAGCAATTTTTGACCACCCAAAACCCCATTTCCGGAACCCTTCATAGAGCGGGCATGCATGGTTTTCAGCTTAAAATTGCGTCAACACAACATCGTATCTTGACGGCCGCCTCTAGGCGTCCCCAGAATCAGGATAAATTCTACACTATTTTGACTGCAGTTTTGTTACCTTTGTGGAGATCGTTCCTTCCCCCAGAGGTCCGTTTCATACCACCTCTGGGAAACTCAAAAGAAATCTGACGGTTCAATCCCCCATTGTCGTTCGCAAAATCCAACGGTTCGCTAGTTGGAACCCATTTTTTTGATCCATGGTGGCGTGGTGCTGTGACATTGACCTACAGGCCATTTTGGGGTAAATGTTGGTACATGGGGGGGTCCTAAAATAGGGCTACCCCCAAATCATCCACTTTAATCGGGCTTTCCATGAAATAAACCATCCAGCGATTTTCCGGGGTACCTCCATGACAGTGGGAAACCTCCACATCTTCCAGCAGCAAAAAAAAAGGATCTGGTGCCCAGCGGCTCATCTACGTCGTTGGATTCATCGAAGTTCTTGCAGTAATCCAGGCCACACTCTCCCACGGCCACCAAGCGCTTACCTGGATGTAAGCGGTGAATAGCCACCCCCGAGTTATTCAGATGTGAATCGATGTTTTAATTGGAATTAACACTTAAAGTTAACCAACACATGTGATTTCTCTTACCAGTTCTACATCTAACATCATTAGATATCATTAGTTATATAGTTAGATGATGTGAACAATGTAGAACTGCTAAGAGAACACTTAAGCGTTCGAAAGGACAGATACCCCACCTGAGATGACCTGAGTTTTTGTTCAGCACTGAGATGCAGCCCCAAGTCGACAGGCTGCAAGTGAAAGGATTGTCAAACAGTATTAAATAGATTTAAATAGTATGTATAAGTGGCTTTTATGTTGACATCTGTTGACATATTGATCTCTAAACATGTTAATCATCTTGATAGTAACATTCAACGCAGTTACTCAGTTGGCCAGTCCCCAAGAAACTCCGAGGATCGGCTAAATACAGGCTCGATTTGGGTAAAAGTTGTCGATAACCCCATATCTACCAACGAACTAAAATGAATTGTCATTGGGTTTCAGATTGTTTATATGTGCATGTAAAATATATACATGTGTATATGTATACATATATATATGTAACATACATACCTACCTCCCTGCATACATACGCTAGATGTACATACACTCATACACTACTGCAGTATTCAAGATGATAGTCATTACTGTTATGAGAATTGCTATCATCAGTTACATAGTCACAAGTATATGACTGTCTTTTACGGCATCACAAACACTACAATTACTGTTCTTATTACTTATGATCATCATTACTGTTCTTATTACTACTACTGTAATACATATGTCATTGCTATCATTAATAGTACTACACATGAACATCATTCTTATCACCATCACTTGCCAGCAATCTAGCATAGCTATGGAAATTCATGATTGTTTCCTGCTCCGAAATGATCTAGTGCCAATTTGGGACTTCCCATTCTATATTTCTGGAGGGAAATTTGATGAGTACTGTAGATAAATATACCCATTAATATCCATTAATATTCCCTTTTTGGATGACTACTGCAGATAAATCACCTTTATTTTTTGTTATATACATACCCATAAAAAACCGCGACTCTTGCTGGATATAATCTCCTTTACTTCTCATTACTCTAGATGGCTTGGAGATATGTTGGAGATATAATGATTGTATTTATATTGAGGTATACAGATGTAGTACCAACCTACATGTAATGGTTATAAGCAGTTTGGAGGTATGCGTTTTTTTTTCTAACCAAAAGAAGTTGTCTACAGCACCGCCCTCAGATCTTTGTCGAGTGGCCAAAAACCTCAATGGCTTCACGCAGTTGCTTCTCAGCCTTGAAGAAGAGAAAACTAGCAAAAATCAAGGGTGACATGAGATTTCAACCAGTGATTGATTGGATGGAATTGGGATTTCACAATTAACCAGAAAGAAAACATGATCTTAAGAAGCAAACATACCGGATCTTAAGTAAGATATACAAAAACAGGAGAGGTAGACATTTGGACCAACAAATATGGAGAACTCAATCAGCTATATAAATTTTAAATTTTCAGATTTCAGCAGCACGTTTTGTTTGCCTTCAACAGCAAACAGTGAGATTCACCTGCAGCAGCTCAATCCGTGGTACACTGATGGGACGTCACATCAGCACATCTGGCTTGATGATCCAATGATTGGCAATTTGACACCTGAAAATAACACTTGAAAGCATATTGAAAACTGATATGGAAGTGGTGAACAAATGGTGTAGAATGGACACGTCTGACTAGTATTCTATCGTGATGTTTTTTATGGATTGAGGAACTGGTCCAGAAAGCCTAGAAATTCACCTGGACAAGATAGATGATCTTCCCATTAGGTCCGATCACCTGTAGAATGAATGATGTCTGCCAGTAATTTTCTATGTATGATGTTAAATTATCCCGGGGATGGAAGTGGTAATTCGAAGAGTTTTTTCTCCCTGGAAAGTGTAATGAAAAATCACATTTTCCATTCATAGGTCTTTTTTCCAATAACAAGTACCATGCCCTCACCAGTTGTGCCGGGAGCCTCTTCTGTGAAGTCCCGGTAATCATGCGGATGACAGCCCAAGGTGCCTTGTGTGAATATATAAAGGTATACAACATGGTATATATATATGTCATATTGTATAGACAACGATCGCGTGGTGGGATTTCTTTTTGGTGTGTGTTTGGGTGTGCGTGTGAGTTTGTTCTGGGGTCACTCCTTTTCTCTCCCCCTGCCTTAATTCCCCCCCCCTTTGGAGACTCGGAGTGCGTATGAAGGGCTCGCATGCCTAATTTTCCTGAGTTTGCCACCTGGTAATACTTTATTTTACTATATTTTACTAGACTTACGTATGGGCCCGTAGGCCTTTGGTGGTAGGCACCTACGCAAGTTTGTTGTGCAGGGGCGGTGCCAACAGAAGGGTAGGGCACCCCCTGTGCCGGGAAGGCAATATTTCTTGACTAACCTAGGCTAACCCACACGCTCCCAAACGTGATTTGTGAACATACAAGGATACAAGGTCGATGTATATCCATGTCAAACATATCTATAATTATATGAGCAATCTCGAAAACCCTAGGTTCACGGAAAGGACATCCACAAATTTGGGAAGGTCCTATCGCTTACCACATGTTTGTACAATGATGACATATGGTAAACTTGGGGGGTATCATCGCTTGCAGGAAACTGCTACATATATATATATAATTCACAGAAATCAACGTCCAATTTGGGTATCGCTAATGTGGATATTAGAGAAATACAATGACATAACCTTGAAAAGGGGTATCGCTAATTTGGGAAGGTCCCATCGCTTACCGTGTGTTTTTAACAATTTCCATCAATTTGCATAAACCAATGTCCGTCCAATACATATTTAGTATTGCCGTTTTTTTAGCGGTGGCTCATATATATATGTATATATATATATGTATTTATTTATATATGTATCATATACCGTGTATCTATACCACATGAAAAGATAATGTAATCCTAACATACGTGTATGTAAATATGCTGTGATCAAGTGTATCAGGCGAAATACATGTGTAAAAATGCTGTAGCACTTAGAACCCATTTAATATACACCTGGTCTGGGTGAACAACAGATATCGGGATGGGAATCCTTCACCAAACTCAATGGTAGATGCTTGATTTAATCCACAAATTTCAAATCGTCAACCCCCATCATCCTAGGCCAGGCATAATCAACTCTATGACTCTATAGCTATTCTTGATTTTATGGCTATGTGTCAAGGTTTTAAAGGCGAGGGGGACGACACATGGACTGATCATGTTTGGCATGAACCACAATTCCCTGATCTGTGATTAGTCAAATGATTGAACGATTATGACGCAAGAAAGCACACATGGCTGATGTGCTTAAACCATTTTAAACCATATTCAACCTTGCTTAGTTTTGCTCATAGGTTTTCATTTCAAAAAAAACATCTGGATAAGTCGTAATGATCGTATAATTCCCATTGTATTTCTATTCCCATCACATGCCTAGGTTGGTTCATAGAGGATTTTCCAACCATAAATCTGGATAAGTCATGATAAGTCCCAATTCCCATTGCATGTCTATTCTATTCCCATTAATGTCAGCCCCGGATTAATAAACTACGTTTCTTAATTATGGGGCTATTCCCCAAAGAGTGATAATCATTGATAATCTGATACTTGAATGGTAGCCCGCCAATTGAACAGCCGTTTGGGGTTTATTAATCCAGGGCTGGCATTACCCTCTGGTAAACTAACATAGCTATGGAAAATCACCATTTTCAATGGGTAAATCCACTATAAATGGCCATGTTCAATAGCTATGTTTGTTTACCAGAGGGTATATGATGGTATATGCCCATTCCAGTGCTGACCCACTTGACATCACTTGACAGCGTCGAGGCGCAATAGACCGAGTCCAAGCCAAGCTGATCAGCGCATTCCTGACGGAGTGGGTCAAAATTGCCCCCCGAAAAATCGATGGTTAATTAAACCAATGGCTAATACTAAAAATAAATGGTTAAGACTATATAGTTAATACTAAAAATAGATGGTTACCCTCTGGTAATTAGTTACATAGCTTTTGAACATGACCCATAGAAATAGTTGATTTACCCATTGAAATTGGTGATTTTCCATAGTTATGTAAACGTTTACCAAAGGGTAATACTAAACATAGACTAAAATCTGTGGTCCCCTGAGTCTCATGGCTTTTTGACCCATCCCTATAATTTTATGGGGATTTGATGGTGAGATCATAGGATATAAACCAATCATTTTTTTTTTGCGCGTCTGAAAAAATTGGTATATGTTTAATATATGGCCATTGAAACATACGGATAATGCTGATTAGCCTGATTAGCCAATAACATGGGATCCCGTTAGACAAACGCATATTAACCCTGAAATACAACCAACCTGAATCATATTTACCTTCAAGAATCAACATAGATATGGGTAGATATGGAATTTCCCATGGGTTTCTACAGGAAGTGACAGGACATGATCTACTGCACTGCCATGGGATAAGTCACCGTTTTTTTGTGTTGGTGGAGCCACCAATCCCTATAGATATGATCGGTTGCTGGAGATTCTCCCAGCTGGAGATTTTTCGAAAAACAACCAACCACCAACGAACGTTGGGAATATGCACGCCCTACTCGGTACATCTTGGTACATCTTGGTACATCTTGGTACATCTTACTTTTCAGCAAGTAACCCTCCAGAAAACTAGACGATGGACCATGACGGACCCCAAATTCTGCTGAGGAGCACCGGTGAGTGAACTGTCCGGTTTTGAGGGGGGAAAAAACGGGCACATAGAATGAAACACGCAGACACACACACACACACTCTCTGTGGTTCGAATATTGAAATATATGTCCATGTTGTTGTAGACACACAAATGCTGGTGAAATCTTGATTTTGAATCAATGGATCACACAGTGTTTTTGCTCATGTTGGTTAAAATTCAGTCTAAATCATGGATCACAAGACATTGATATAGCCAAAATTAAAATCAATAATCCATGGATCCATGCTGTTTAAGTTTGGTTTTACACGATGCCTTGCTGAAACTTCGATACAACGAGCATCAATGATGACCTTTGTGTCTTCGATGGCTTCCAACTCACAACAATTCGTCACGACCTGGACGGAGGATGTGACGATGGCTCATATGCCCCATATCTAACATATAGTGGTAACTGATCAATGGCCATTCCAGGATCCTAAATTGGAGGTACCTACCATGGCCTTATATGGTACAGTACCTCCAATTTAGGATCCTGGAATTCCCATTGAACTGAGGTAGTGGTTATATGACCTAGTCATCTATGTGATAATGTGAATAACTATATATAATATGACATAATAATAATCAATATATGGGGAACTAATTGGATTGTGATGGCAATGTATTGAGACGTACAACCGAACTGGTTGGCAATTTGAACCCCTCTGAAGACAGCGTTCGTCATTGGAGATAATCATCCCCTTTCTACGACTGAACATAAACACATTTGAAACCAGCAACCAGGGTATGTTTAAGATTGAATTGAAGTGGTTGAATCATAGCTACGGCCCAGTGGTGCTTTTCTGCTGTTTTCTCAAGAGCTATTCGTAGCTGCCTGCCGGGCTTCCAGGCAGCTAATCCTGAATCATCCTCAGTTCCCTGCTATGTTTGGGTTCTCATTTTGTGTGTGTTAGGAATTAATGGAAAATCCCCGCACCATGGAGGTGTCTAGCTGGGAAAATCATTGAACTAAGTGGTGGTGGGTTTTCCAGCTTGCCACGTTTGCTTGCCGAAGGGTAGCTTGAGTGGTCTATGATGGAAATACTTGAGTCATGAACCATAACAATTCATATCAGTTTCACCCTTTCACCCGGGTTTATTGTTTGCAAGTGAATTTTGCACATAGTCCACTTGGACATATCATTCAAGTATAGACATGTCCTACGATCCTCTATGCTTTCAGTATTTGTAGATAATGGGCAATCAGATCTTCCACATGAATTTACAGCTGACACTTAGCTTAGCTTGTCAGTTGTTTATATTAAGATATGAAAATTGAAACTCGAGTACTTCAATCCATTATCCCATGCATCCAAAGTCAAACCCTCTTCATCCCTATTATATATAGTCATCCGTATTATATATATACCACTATGAATCTATATTGTATTTATATATTATATATTATAACTTATATGTATATTATATATTATAACTTATATATTATAATTATATATTATATTTACATACATATTATATTTATATGCACATTTAGGATAATTCAAGATCATTTAAGTAGATTCAAGTACTCCATCATCCAGGTCAAAAACTGGTAGCAACAGCCCAGGAACCCATTTCAACGATGCCATTTGTGGGTCGCTGCGAACCCTCAAGAGATACTTTTCCACGTGCTCTGCCGACAAGGCCTTGCCTGGCAGAATGGGGAATTTAGCACCTTTTGGGTCTTCAATGATGTATCAAAATAAAATATTCAAACATCGGGATTCAACCGTCAGCAGTCCTCATCTTTAGCTGATTTTAGCTGGATATGATGGGTATGATATCATTCTTGCAACAGCAAACGACCTAAGCAAGGGTGCGCAGCTGATTTCCTCTGGTTTGTCGTGCGACTGACTAGGGTAGGTAATTCTCCTGACCTTTTCAGCTGGCACGTCTCAAATTCAAGACTTTCTAAATGAACCACCTTGGATAATATCTTAATATATCTTTAAGTCTTAATGATTCTTAATGATTCTTAATGATTCTTAATGATTCTTAATGATTCTTAATGATTCTTAAAGTCTTTCAGTTTCACCACTCGCATACTGAGTCAGTTCTTTCAGCACTCTTCCGTTGACTTCTATGAATGCAAGCTTATCGATGAGCTCGTTTGGTGGTTGAGCCACTGACAAAGATGAGCCAATGAGAATTATCCGGCTAGGAGAACAATGAGACATAATGATACATCCATGCAGGAAAGGAACGAATCAGTCTTAGCCTCTTACCATTGGATCATTTATCATACGTGTCTCCTGGCAGTAAACGGAATGTTGCCAGCATAACTATGGAAGGAACAATTGCTGTCAGATGGGGGGTTATCTTCCCAAATAGGCTTGAAAAAACATGTTCGAAACCGCCAAAACATGACTGTGGAAAGCCAGTCGAAGCCATCTTTGCCCCCAAGAGATCAGCCAAAGGGGCGGGGTCGGAGATCATGTTCTCCGTGAGCAAACTGACAGTCCTCGAGCAGAGCTGTGACTTCACAAACTCACCCAGAATTTGTTGGAAAGTGCAGGAGCCTCCGTGTTTGATGGAAAAATATGGGAAAATATGGTAAATTCATATCAAATTCTCATTGTTTCCTGTAGACCAATCACCGATCATGCTTGCTACATAGGTGTAGAATAAAGCTACGTGCAACCAGAAGTTCTTGGGTGATCGTCTTCTCAACCACCATTCAAAATCTCTCGAAATCACACTGTGGATCATTTGTGGATCATATTCCCCGTAAACTTGGTGACGCGACTGCGTCTTAAAATAAAGTACCAATTCCATCCATTCCAGTGTTTGTCACCATTTTCCTTATTCAGATTGCCATTTAGGCGGCATCCGACACCGGATTCAATTCATAAATCTTCCACAGCTGTATGATGGAAGCAAGATCCGGCCCTTCATGGCCCTTGGGGTTTTTGGTTTCCTGAGGAATTCGTCAATGGGCACTTCACCATATATACAGTAACAATAATAATAATATTATATAATAAGAAGAAGAACAATGTATATACATTGTATATCTATGTGACGGTTGATCTAAATTCCTTGATCTGCAAACGGCCATTCTTCGTGAATAAAGAAAGCGTTCGCGAATCTTTCGCGAACCCCATGTTTATCCTTCGCGAGGGTCTCATGTTCAAATATGTTGCTAGCTCTTTCGCCAAAAAAAATACTTTCGCAAACTCAGGAAAAGAAATAAAAACATTCGCGGGGTCTCATGTTGGAACCCTGGCGGCCTTGGTAATGGACAATCTCTACATGGACCTTTAGATCGACAATCATATGAATATTATATGTAATATACACAGATGTATCTATATATATACAATATACCAATTTTTAATTATAGATATGTAAGATATACTTTATATGTATTTAAAATTAGGTACTAGCTGGGAGCTCTTGTATACGTTGTGGGCCCCTGAATTCCACTTCTCAAATCTTCCACTTTCCCATGGGATTTCGGCCAGGAAACGTAGCCGTACCAACAGTCGCCTGTCTGCCACATCTTACAGATTTTTTCTTTGCCCCCCCAAAGAGTTCCACCATTCTTCAGATTGTGTAGCCTGGGCACAGTCTGCGGTTGAGTTCAACCGGTGGCGCAGTCTCCAAAGCTGGATTCAGGGGAGATGCAATGATATATGTTTTTCAGGTAACATATTTTCTTTATATTGAAGATTACCAACAGGGATGTGATATATATATATATATTATATATATAGATGTTCTGTTCTGTTCCTTTCGTTTCTCAAAAACTCTTTCATTAATGTCACCACAGGTTTCAAACACGGCGTCACCACCATGGCACAATGAGCAAACAAACTTGACCCACAAAAATAATCCACATACTTATACCACCCTGGTTGGTTGAGTCGGGGAAAGCAATCCATTTCAATAGCAAAGGAAATCACTGTTCAATACTTTTGAGTCAGTTTGGTTTGTTGAAAAAGTGTTACCCAGGTTGCCCCCATCTTTGTCCGGGGCACCAAAGTGCAAATCAAGGAATGCTGGGGTCTCATGGTACCCGAAAAATATCGAATCTCACTACGCTGCTACTAACGAGTTAACACGTTTACATGGAACGTCCCTTCTTTGCAGATGATTTCCTGAGAAAACCGCGGCATGCCCATGTTAGGTTGCCCAAGTGTAACAATTGGGGCTAAATGCTTGAGCCATGACTTGAGATCCAGCGCACGCATGCGCACCATAGGAACAGAATGTCAAGGTGGCAATGAGCATCGCAGTATGCCATGTCTCGAAGCTCCTGGTTTCAACGGAAAGCAAACGCCACGAGTCGCCACCAGTAAGGCCGATATGCACCAGTGAAGCCCCCATGAGTAGCGGTTCTTTTCATGGTATGAATGGTGTATGCCTGCCAAAAGTTGAGGGTAATGGTGATTTGCTCGGATGATATTTGTCATTTGTATTGCATGTGTGTATCGTGTTCTGTTGTGTGTATTGTTCTGTATTGGATGTAAGTGAAGATATGGGAATCTCAAATACCATTTCCAATACAAAGCATGTGGCAAAAAACTGTCTAGCATTCCCGTCGGTCTCACAACTCTGTCTTTGTCAGCTACAAGAACCTCCCAAACAGAGTGCTAGTTGGGCTGGATTCCTCTCGAATACAACAAACAAAAATACAAAGTTCAGAGTCAGTTCAGACATGTTCAGACATATTAAGACTACATAGGACTACCAGTTAGTCCCAAATCTCTCCACAAAAAAAAAGTGATCCCTCAAGGTCTTGGCCTCTGGTGTGTGCCGCGGTGGTGGTATGGAAGGAGGTGGCATTGATGGATCGGGTGCACAGCAAAAGCAGCCGCCATTGAAGATTCGAAAGCCTTGGTGTGCCACTCGATGGCGAAATTCCTCGGGTTTTGATCCTGCCAGATTAGTGCTCCCATCCTCCACAATTGCTGATGATTTTAAGCAGTACTTGATATTTCTGGTGACGTACCTTATCGTACCTTTGTTGTTCTCCTAATGATATCTTGCTTGTTGTTGGATATATCCCTATTTGGTATGGTATACTTCAACATGTTCTATATATATATATTAATATCCATCCATGTTTAGTGCAATCTTGTGTGTATGTTATCGAAATCTCAAACCCAGAAACACATAAGTTAAATCATTTGCAGTACTGCATTGTGGCAATATCCATGCCACCATGCTGAAACTCCCCATGAATTTTAGAGTTTACTAGCCCAGTTCTTTGCAAATCTCCATCTGTTGGTGAACTGTCCACATCTGTTGGTGAAATCTTCATCTATGTCTGAAATGTTCATCTTTTTCTAGATAAAATCGGAGTATTACCCCATGTATTAGTGGTATAATCCCATTATAACTTATGTATACTAAAGTGGTAAAACCATTGTACATCTCAATTTTTCGTGGTCAATTTCTCGGAGTCAAAATCGGATTGAATCCGGTGAATATCCGCCCTGGTTGGAGACCAAATCCAACGAATGATGGCGCAAGAATTGCCCCATTGTCGCTGCTGGAGATCAAATATGCATATATATATATATACAGTATAGTATCGTATATATTATATATATAGTATAGTATAGTATATTATATATATATATACATATTATGTAAGCATATATCTACCATCATTGTGCTCTATTTCCAAACGTAACACATTCCCCATGTTGCCAAGTTTCCTCTCTTCAGGGGTCTAGAGCTTCTGGCTTCCTAGGACCCAAAAGGACCATCCGTTTGGAAACGACCGAAAATTTGGGGAATTCACCATGAGTTCACCATGAAAAATGACGCAAAACGTTGGAGATGACCAGCATATTATATGTATAACTACCATTTGGTTATTTTTCATAGCCATGGAAAATCCCTTATAAATGGAGGTTTCTAGCTGGGAAAAGCATCTATTTCTATGGGCCATCTATACCATGGCTATGTTAAATAACCAGAGGGTATATATAATACGTGTATGTATATAATGTATATATGGGGTTGCGTCAAAATTCGGGTTGGATCGGCCCGTGGAAATCCAGACGTATGGAACGGTCTGGATCACCTGCGTTTTAGGATGGATCGGGGGTATGGATCGGCCTGTGGGTTCAGGGTATGGATCGGGGCTTTACATTTTGACTCGCAGCCATATATATATATATACAATATACTATAATTTAACATCTTCAGTAAATTATCAGGAATTGGGATCAGTTGGTTCAGTGATACCTGAGACAATTCTCTAACCATGGCACCGCATGGCTACAAGTTCCAATGACGCCTAACCCAGGAACACAGGAAGCGACTCTTGCAGCCAAAGAATGCGGATGGAACGGGCATGTAAACAATATCAATATGGGGGTTTCCTAAAATAGGCTATCCCCAAATCATCCACTTTAATATGTGATTTTCCATTGTAAACCATCCAGCGATAAAGGGGTATCCCCCATCAAACCAGTAGTATTCCAACGTAGCCTCCAACGGTGGTTCACCTAGATCTACCTTTTCGGAGCCATCTCCAACGAATATCGTTGGACCAAATATCTTGGTTCATGGTAAACCATGGCTAGATAACCTGTTATTTCATCTCATGGCTAGATGGAAAATTTCAGCAATCAAACATGGCTAGATGGAAAATTTCTCAACCATAGTTCGATGATCAATTTTCCAGCTATAAACCGCCATGGCCATGTTTGATGACCAGGTACCATGTGATCGTTGGCCGTGTGACCCGCAACGAATCACTCAACGAATACTGGTTGCTTAATATTGATTCCCCGTTCATGGATAATGAACATCCATATATCCACAACATATTATAACCCACTATATAACTTGAAATACTTCTAATTATATAACTTGAAAATGGCCATTTATAGTTGATTTACCCATAAAAAATGGTGATTTTCCATAGCTATGTTAGTTTACCAGAGGGTAACTCTATATAACTCTCTAACCCTCCACAATCATTGACCAACAGGTCCTGTTTTCTCGCCACTCAAACCCGGTGCGCGCGCCGAGCAGCGCGAGAAAAAACTCGAGGCGCGTGCCAGTTGTCCCAGCAAGACCTGAGAACTGGTGGAAAAAAGATGGGGCCCCTAGAACTATATATCTATATAATGTTGTTTAATCAGGTTATAGAATGTTATCTATCCATCTATAATATATAAACTATAATATATAATGTGTATATATAATATATAATGTACATGTAATATAGTACAATATAATATATATATATATATGTCCACTTATGACTGATGTCCACTTATAACTGGAACTGTAGTGCCACAATAATCTGTGAAGTTGGTATCTTTGGCTATGGATCAAAACCCATGGAATTCCCTGGTTTCAATTCATCCCCCGCTGAGATAATGGGGTCAACATCCCGAATGGAGACGGATCGTCCAACATGTACATGTCAAGTCCGTTAGCAAGTGGGTTAATATCTATCCTCTTAAACTCAAAATGTATTTACTGTAGATGTAATCCATAAGCCGGCTATAGCCAGGTACTTGATCATGGATCTTTGTTTCATCATTACAAACAGTAGTGCAATGGAGAGAAAACGTGGCCAGCCTTAGATACCCTGCACTTTTTTGGCTGGGCCGTGTCTGTGGCAAAAAATCAAGTATTGATAGCACCAGACTACTCATCCAAGATTAACCAAGAAAAACATGTTTTTGCTGAAATCCCACCATGCCGCCACTCTTCAGGGGGTATACTCTTAATGGAAACAGCGGGGGCCCGAGCCGTCGGCTTCGGCATCTTGGAATTTCTGTGGCAACTCCAGCATTTACATTCGCATGGCTAAGTTTCATAGATGAAAACCTACATAAGTATGACTGGGCAGCAACATGTATGCCTCCATTCATTCATAGTCAAAAAAAAAGTAAGTCAGTATGAAAACCCCTCATATATGGTTCAAGATCATCTGCTTGGTGAAATAAGCATAAATAAGTACTGTAATCATGTAACAAAACATCAGGCTGTTGCCCCAAGGACACAATCATTGACATGGTTCATTCAGTCAGATTCAAAAGCTCTCAGAGCCCAGAGGCTTGCAGTAAAATTGGCCATTTGTCGCGCGCCTCGGAGGCATTCCCGATGTTCACCAGATCAATGGGCTTCTTTGGAGTATCTCCCGTGATTTTATGTTATTTTGAGGTCTATGACACCACCAAGCGGAACAAATTAGCTTTGTGAGAGCAATGGATTTGCATGGCTTTGAGTTTACCGCATTATGTGGAATATGTATATATATAATATGGGAAAGTTAGCATACCATGGATCCGCTCATGGTGCCGATTTAAACCTGAACAATAACCATGGAGATATATGTTTTTGTGGACAGTGCTCAAAGTTGTCGTTTAGTTGTCAAAAGGTTTTCTAATGGCCTAATCACTGGTTATTGTGGCCGAATATTTCACCTTAGCTCCAAACCACCGGATACAACATTGTTTAGTTAGTGCTTCATGGAGAACATCACCATTTCTGTCCCGCAGGTGCTGCTAAAGCCACGGGACTCTTGCATATTTAAGGAGGTTTCCAGAAATCATCTGAGAGTGGACCGTTCTAGTAAACCTGGTTTTGGGGATATTCCGTTTTAAGATCTTTTAAGACCCCAAGACACCCCCATTTCCATTTGTGGCTTAGAAGTTGCCCAGGATCCATCCATACTTACAGGCTGATCCGCAGTCGTCGCAGGCATCCTGGAAACTGCCTCAGGATGGACTCGGTGACGCAGGTCTGATCAAAATGTCACGTGAGATATATGGTTTAATCCACTGGTTAGGAGGGAGCTAAGCTGGTTGTATCTTGGTGTATCCATATTCCCAACAAAAAATGGATAGCCAAGGAGCGACTAAGAGTTTCCCAACCACATGATAGTAATTTGAAGGATGGTATTGATATGGAGGCAAAGCTGATCAGACAAGGAGCCACCTAATAAGTCAACGAGGATTGCACGCAAGACAGCAAGTACAGTAAGAAGTCCAAACATGACCAAAACATGCCGAGGTCATAGGGTTCAAACATTGGCTGCAACATGCCCATGGTCCATAGAGTCATAGTCCATGTTGAATCTCAAATTACAGAGGAGTTCAATCCGAAGATTGAACTGAATTGATCATAATTTATCTAGTTTTTGTTTTGTTTCATGTATGTTTCAAATAGAATTCAGGTGGATAGATTACATATACCCTCCAGTAAGTTCTGAAAGTCCAACAATGGTACTGTCAGCTAACTTGCTGTGTGTTTACTGGAGGCTACTGGTCATTAATATGAAACTATAGTGAGATAAAGCACAAAAATGAACTATGCCCAATTTGGGTTTATGACATTGGGCATAGTTCCTTTTATTATAAATGGGATTATGTTGATTATATTTCATTAAGACCACAAAAAGGTTGCTTGCTGAGATGGGGCTGTCCAACTCCAATTGAGCAGTGTTCAAAATCCCTCTATCATTCCATTATACAGGTTGGTTTATAGGGATTTTTTTACTGGATTGTTCGAATCCCCAATATATTGGGTAGATGTTCATCCCCGAACTAATCATCAACCAACAGGCGTTTTGAACACTACTCAATTGATGTTTGCTAGTTGTCTAAACAGTGTTTCATCCCATTCTTCTCGGTCTCACGAGTCGCATTTCCAGATCATCTATCCATGATACACTCATCTGATTTCATCTGCTTTTACCGGTCTAAATAACCCAGTCATGTCGATAGATTGACCATGTATAATATATATATATATCATGATATATATCTACAATGAACAATAGTTAACTATACTTCACTTAGCTGGCTATTGTTTGGCCCCACCTTGTAGGGTTATTACAAGGAATCTCCTGCAGTATTTTTCCAAGGCCTTCAACTTGTTATTTCTGATGGTCAAATGACCGTTTCTGATGGTGCTGGGCGAGATCATTCCCCTGGCGGCTTGATGGTTCCAGTGTTGGGGGATTCAGTGGCTTTTACAGCATGATTCAGTGTTTTCCCTGGTGTCCTGGATGGTTTTATTCAGACACATCCAACATCCAACTATCATATTTGGTCTGGCTGGTGGTTTTAACATGTTTTAACCATCTTGAAAAATATGAGTCAATGGGATTATCCCATGATATTATGGAACATAAAAAATGTGTGAAACCACCAAGCAGTAGTTGGTTATACCCCATCATGTGATCATCCCATGACATCTCCATGATTCTCCAAAATTATGGTCATAGACTCCCCAACTATCGCATACAGTGGATGATCAGCCCCAATGTTATCCCACACATTATCCCAACATTATGACGATATTTCCAATTGTCCCAATGATTATCCCACCCAATATCATACAGACACGATACCCCAAGTTCTATGCTCATAAATCCTATCACCATTGCCTATCATGATTGTCCCAATATATTTCCATAACGTGGACATACCCTCCTCCGATTTCCCCTCTGGCCATGCATGGCCCAGGCTACTCCTACTCGCCCAACTCTTCCAGTGCCATTCATTGGCTTCAGGTGCCACCGGCCAGCGCTGCGCGGTGGTCATGGCTGGAAGAGATCTTTGGAAATGAGTAAAGAAAACATTCACCCAGATCCGAGAATGGGGTTATAATATGGTTTGATGATGTTTAATGATGGTTAATCATTGGTTGGTGGTGAGGATGATAATGGGATTTGATGGTTTATGATGATCAATGGAAACTTCAGGACCCTAGAATGCAGGTAGGTACTTTACCATAGAAGGCCATGGGGCATGTCCCTTTAGATAGCCCTTACATAGGCCTTACCTCCAATCTAAGTACCTGAAACGGTCAGATCTGAAAATTGGGTTTTATGACTTGACAATTGCTAATAATTGGTGGGTATTGGAAATGAAAATGGAATTTTCATGGAATCTGTAACCAACCTGATATGATAATTCCATCTATATAATCATGCGTTGTTCAGTGTTGGAGTTATCATTTGGTGACATGTAGTGGATGTGTTGTTGAGTGAGTTGAGCATCTTGCGTTTTTTTTTCCCACATACACATCTGTCCTATCTATAATCCGTTTGGTATAAAAATGGTGTGTACTTACATTATTAAAACAATTTCCAATTGTGTTCGCAATGATTCTGCCCCAGCGGTGAATTTGTGGCTCCGCAAAGGGTTTTGACCGTGTCTGGGCGGAGGGTGCACTTGGGCTTAAACTGTGAAAAGCAAAGATGTGAAGTGGGTCGAATTGGGAAGTTCTTCTGGATTGCCTGCGTGTGCTCTTTTGAACATGTGAAAGGACACCATTCCTGTTTTGCTGTTTTTTTGGGGTTTCTCCAAAGCTTCCGGAATCACAAATTCAAACCGGTGAATAGATTGTCGGATCACAGCTGCCTTGATCCAAGAAATGTTGTGCAGTCACCATCAGGGTTGGAGGTGGGACATGTCCCACAATATATATATATAATATACTATGTAAAGGACATATATATATATATATATTTATAATTCTTGATTTATAATGTGCAACAATACATATATAATGATATGGAATGTAGTCAAATTATATTAATACCATGTGCATATGTATATATATATATTACACACACATATATATATATATATACATGCATAGATTGGATGATATCATATAGATTTATTAGATGTAATATTATATATTACGATATACTATATCATATCATATGATATTGTATGATTTTATATTACATTGTATTATATTATATTACATTACATGAAATTACATGGTCTTGATTAGTATTTCTATATACATAGATTGATCGTATTTCATAGTATCATATAGTATCATATTACATTACATTATGTTCAATTATACTGAAGTATACATTAAAACAAAAAACAGTAAGAACATAACTATGTAACGTATAATATGTAACACGTATAATAAACATATGTAATATAATATGTAAAGCCACATATGTATGTACGAAAATCTGTGATTGAACCCTACATCCCCCTTTCGAGCTGAAAATGATCTGAGATACCATGTGGGTTTCTGCCAGCATTATCCTTTTTGGTTTGCTCTGTACCATGATGATCCTCAAAATAGAACATCACCATTTTAATAGGTAAATCAGGGCTGTGGCTTCCATAGCTATGTTAAATTAACAGAGGCTAGATTGACTTGGTTGCATCACAGTCAAATAGATCCTAGCTAGAAGAGGTTATGGGCCCCAATTACCCTCCGGTAATCAAACGCAGCAATGAACAATCTTCCGTTTATGGGTTATGTTCCCATTAAAATATCTATTTGTATATATTTCCCATTGCCACGTTTGATTACCGGAGGATATGCCATATAAAGGACATTTCTGAACTCGCGGGATAATCGGATTGGAGGCAACAAGTAGTCCATACTTCAAGCAGTGGACAATATATGTTCAGTGGAACTGGAACATTCCCAGGTACTGTATCTCGTGACTTTTATGTACTCCCTCTTTCTCTATGTGTACGAATACATATGCATATGTATATATATATATATGTATATCGGTATGTTATATGTGAATACATAATATATAAGTGTAAACATGTATGTATATATATATATACATATATATATATTTACATATACATATATGTAAACATGTATCTATGTATCTATATGTAAAAAAAATATCTATGTATCTATATGGATCTATATGTATCTATATGTATCTATGTATCTATCTATATACATTTAAATTTACGGATTTAAACATATACGAAAAGTATTTTAGACTACCTCCGGGAAGGTTTTCCTTGGCCCGCCCGGCCATTTAAACATACGGAATCCAATTCATTTAAACATACGTTAACTACATTTAAATATACGAACTGGTACTTTATACTACCTCCTGTGCCTGGCGGTCTGGCCCGCCCTCCGCATATTTAAATGGCGTTACCGTATGTATACATGTATATATGTATATATGTATACATGCATACGGTAACTACATCTAAATATACCGAATTTTAAATATACAAACTGGTATTTTAGACTACCTCCGGGAAGGTTTTCCTTGGCCAGACGGGCCATTCAAACATACGGAATCCAACTTATTTATATAAACATACATTTAGATATACGGATCGAACTGGTGTTTCATACTACCTCCGGGGCTTTGTGGTCTGGCCCGCCCTGCACTGATTAAATGTCGTGAAGTACCGTATGTATATATATATATATGTATGCATGCATGCATGTATGTGTATATATATATATGAAATTATGAAAATATGTATTTATGTTCATATATGTATGTGTATACAATTATATATATATAGGTATAAAGGTATATGGTTGCACCATATATAGAATACTGCGCCACTCTGCTAAAATGTTACTTTGGGTTGCCACACGAGCAACATCCAAATAGATACAGTATCAAGATATTTATGTAATTAGGACAAACACACATATACATATACATCATATACAAAGATATGGTGTATACATAGATCATATAGCCTTCTCAAATGGACCCAACAACTGTCCGTTGTTCCTCCGTCCGGTGTGGCCGTCGCCTACGGCTTGCCAGTCCCTCCAGGAGACGTTTTCAACTTCTGGCCTTCGACAGACGCTGAGTGAGTCAACTTGAGATCATGCACCATTCTTAGATGAACAACATACTATAGTGTAGACATTCAATACCTTATATTAATATATAACATAATATACTATAGATCATATAGGCTATACTATGAGATATATGATTCTCAGGGAGTGAAGATGAAGAAAACACACAGTTGAAGTCAATTAAAACCACCAGCAAGCGTTTCGAAACAAACAACACATCACCACAAACATGTTCCCATCCCAACATTCGAATACAAGTGTAGGACCTCAGCACAACTCGCAGGGGGTTCCTCTTGGCCAGTGATGCCCAGCAAAAGCATGAAGTTTTAGCTGACTTATGGGGATCTATAGGGATTTATAGAGATATAATTGGAACTATATACATAATGGGACAAGTTTGGAAAATCATTTGAATATACCCTCTGGCAATCAAACGTGGCTGGCTGGAAAATCCCCACACTAAATTGAGGTTTATAGCTGGAAAAACAATGTATAAATGATGGATTTTCAATTGCCACGTTTGATTACCAGAGGTATATATGCCCATCTATGGCAGAATATTACAACTTGGGTAAGCTAACATGCACCATAGGTAAGGAAAACCCATGGGCCCTTGAAGAATCCAAAACATACATGGTGGCTTTACGCATATCAATATTTCACCGGACGAGAGCTGGATCCATGTTGAACAGCAAACATAATTTGTACAAACATTGATGGTCAAACATGATGTAGTTATGGTATATTCCATTATCATTGCTTCCCATTGTATTCCATCTTCTCCTATTCTATCCCCCTGTGTCCCATTATGTATACATATATATATAAATGTATAGTTATTTATATATGGGGGCTTCCTGAAATAGGGGTACCCCCTAATCATCCATTTTAATAGGATTTTCCGTTACAAACCATCTATTTTTGGGGTACCCTCATTTATGGAAACCCCATATATATATATATATCCCGATGCAATTGATCCATTGAAGCTTTCCCCAGTTGGAAGCCCTATCTTCGCTGCGTTTCCAGACTCGTCGCACTGCTCAGCCGCCTGCCGTGGGTTTCCTATTGTTGCGGGGGTCACCTCTGGGAGAGGTTGGTTGAATCCCCATGAAATGTTGATATAACATGTGGATATATGGGATATAGAGATATATAATTGGATATCAACATTGATATAATGATCTATTATCATATGTGGATATATAAGTGGTTATATGGATTATCATATGTGGATAGGTGACAATATGATAATTGGGTCTGACTCACTGAAAATAGGGTCTGACTGAAATAGGGTACTCAAACTACTGGCACACTGTCACACTGGTCAAACTCATCATTTTCCCGATTAAAACACATTAAGCAAATCACACCCATTCAGTGAGTACTCCTGCCGAGGAAATAACTGATGAACTGGGGCAATCCAGCTTGTACCTCCGTGACTATATGTGTTGATGTGTTGTACTCATGTTGGGAAACATTACCAAAACATATTATTTAGTTTGAAGTTCGAAATACATCGAAATACCAATTTCCAAAAAGATTTATAGATTTTTAGTATACCATATAGTATATCCTATACCCTATGTTATGGGCCTTTGGTTTCCTGTGAAGCATCCCACCTCCATGTCGTCCCCTCGGTCAGCCTGCCGTGAAATGTCCGGCCATGGTCCATGGTGGCCGTGACCATGTGGCAGTAAGTTGTCTTAAAATGATGGAAAACCCGTAGATCAATGGTTTGGTTTAGGGGAAAATCTACAGGAAACCAATTTTATTTCCCACTATATATGGTTGTTTCCTGAAAATTCTCCCAGTAACCAATACTGGGAGTAGGCCATGGGATAAACATGGGTGTAAATGATATTCAGAGACACACCCACATCATTCTTCTCTTCAAATGTTGAAAAAAAGGACCTAGTTTGTCCATGTTTATCCCGTTTTTTTTTGAAAATGACCATTGCCATTAATGTATGTATATACAATTATGTACATA